GAAAAGTTCAGCATCCAAAGAAAAAAAAGCACAGAGGCGAGAGAAATGCTAGACGAGACATTTTCACTGACATGTGGCTGCATATCAAAGTGAAATAAGGATCTCTGTGGTGCGACGACCTGCCAAAAAAATATCATATACATGTAAGAGAAAATGTCACCAGCTGATTGAGAACTGTTTAGTTAACACCGTTGCCAGCAGCTTAACATTAGGTTGAGCAAATGTATTGGCATTTACCAGAAAAACCTGTTAAATTTATGTAGAATATTATAGAATTATTATAGAAATATTGTATTTATTTAGTTTTCTAAATTTATTTTTTGATTTGTAGTTTAATTTATGATTTATTTATTCATTATTTATATATTCAACTATAAATTTTTTTTTTATTATATATATTATTATTATATACTTGCTATATACTTGTTTCTCTATAGATATATATTTCTTTCTACAAGTTTTTATTATATTAATGCATACATTTTCTATAATTATTTAATACTATTTTGATATTTATTTATTTATTATTATATACATATATTTTTTGCAATATATTTCAAGGCGTACTTTTATTGTCAATTAGTTTTAGTTAGATCTATCGAGATCTCAGATCTATCTTAGCTAACATTTCTTATTACATTTAGATTCTGCATGAATGCATCTTTACAAGTATGTATGTACTCATCCATTTAATAAATTTTTAAGATACATTTAAAAATTTTGTCTAATTATGTAAACATTCAAGAAAAATTCCACAAAAATTATTATTTCATTTTAATTATATTTGCCTTTATTAAAAAATTAAATTTATTTACATAAGTAATCCTCAATTATTTTATTTCAATTAAAAAACAAATATTTTGATTGGTAAATTTCTGTAAAAAAAAGAAAAAGTACTGAAATATTACAAAGTAAATTTCGGAAATGGATTTACCTTTGCCATTCAGGCTGTTTGCTCAGCTTTGTATATGAGTCCGGGCATCTATTTGTCTATTTGCGTTGTTTACAAATCTCCAACTGCAATTTGTTTAGACCAAATTGGTTGTGCCACAGTTGTCTGGATAGGATAGAACAGGGCGGGACAAGGCAGGACAGGTTTTGGTAGGCGAGTCGTCGCCCAGTTGCCCAGTTGCCCAGTTGCACAGTGGTCCAAATTAATTGGCAGCAATGCGGCAATTGGGGTCTTTTGGCAAATTTCGTGGCTGGCTGCCAAAACTGTCAGAAATTCGGTGCGCGTTTGCCGCGACAAGCATAATTTCAATTAATAATCAAAAACGGCATAACGGACACGGGTCACGCCCACGCCCACGACCATACGAATCGCTGGGGAGAGACAACGTTGACGACTTTACAAATTGAAATTAACATCGTGTCGTGGGAGTTGTGAAGAGTAGAGCACTGAGCGAAGAGGGGGCGTGGCGCGCGGAGTGGCTGCAGATGTAACCAGGTCATTGTGCGTGGCGCTGAAATTAGAATAAGTTTTCGTGCCGAGTTAGAGAGGCCTACGAGAGCCCCTCACCCGCTCCCAGCCCGCACCCTGGCCAACTCATCACTGAATTGTGTTAATGAAGGCGTCAGTGTCTGCCACAAGAATCTTTATTATTTTGTAATTAAGTGGCTTGCCAAGTGCCGCACAAGTCTCTGTGGCGCCAAACCCGAGCTCTCCTGCTCCTCCTCCTCCTCCTCCTCCTCATCCACGGTCACTTATAAATGCACAAAAAGAAGACGACGACAACTCTGGCAAAGAAAATTGTGTTGATTCAATTTGAAAAGCCTCGACGGGCTGTCAAACTCTGTCAAGGAGTCGCAAAACAGGCAGACAGACAGAGAGAGAGAGAGAGAGAGAGAGAGAAAGGGAGGCAGACAGATAGACAGAGAGCAAGACCTCGAGTGCTCCGTCGCAGTTGCTTCAGTTCACTCGAAGGCAATCCTCCTGCCAACCCATTCATGTTGTTTGCTGCTTTGTTCTCAGCCACTTTCATTTGTGGCCCAGGCTCTGGTTCTATATACACCTACATACACATTATCTTAAGCCGCTGCCAGGTGACTCAAAAAGGAGTCAACAACTTGATGTTGTTGTTGTTATTGTTGCTTTGCAGTTGACTCTTGACCTAAGAATCGTAAACTACATTATGTCTTAAAACTCGCTCTTCACAGGGGATTTAATTATATCAAGTTACCCAATGAATTTACAAATGAAAACACTAAGTTGAATGCAGAAATACTTCCGAAGATTTTTAAAGTTTTATAATAATTATGTGGCAGCTACAAAAATCTCAGAAGAATTGTGTTGTTTTTTTTTTTGCAAAATATCGTTTTAAGAGTAAAACACCTTTTTGTTTCAATTGACCAAAGTTTTTTCAAATTGTAATTCTACAATTATAAATTATATATTTTTTTTTAATATCAATTCGTTTATTTATTATTGTTATTTTTTGATTTTTTTATTTAGTGATTTGTATTTTCACAGCTTATATTTTCTTTATAATTTGTTTTATATATGAGTATATATTCTATTTAATTCTATTTAATTTATTTGCGTAATTATTATTATTAAGTTTTCTAAATGTTCCAAAATATGTTTTTTTTTCACTTTGTTTCAAAGTTATTTATTATTATTAATATTTTGTTTTTAAAATAAATTATTAAAATAAATAATTAAAAATTATTTGTAAATGAAGAAGATGAAGATTCACAGTACAGCCCCCTCTCTCTGTAAATATATATATATATATGTATTTATTGTAAAAATTTATTTATTTATTTATTTTGTTATTGTTTTTTTTTTTTTTTTTATATATTTTTATTTTTAATTCGCAACAATTTGAAATGTCATGAATGAATTCCTAAACAAAAGAGATAAACGACAGAGACTGAAGAGAGTCAAGATATCAGCCTCATTCGTTGGGCCGTTGCCCAAGTTGAAATAAAGAACGTGCCGCAGGCGAATTCCTTTTATGGAAAATCGAATACGCGGCAGCTGGGAAAAATTGAAGGCAAGGCAAAGAGAACACGCGCGGTTTTTCTTTTCTCTGTTTATTTTCTTTTTTTCTTATCTGTAATGATAGATGCCACGCCCACGCACGCAATGCGGCGCCTGCGGCAAAGCGAGCGACAACAATTTACAATAAATGGAGTTAAAAGTTACAATTCAAACGGTGTGGGAGACGGGGCGTGGGGACATAGCGACGTGGGGACGTTGGGGGCGTGCCACATCATCATACTCATTGTTGTTGTTGCTGTTGGCTTTTTTAAACGTGCGATAAGCCGAAGCAATTTAATAGCTAAAATAACAATAAAATACGAGACAGACAGTCAGGCCGGCAGCCTGGCAGCCAGATAGCTAGAGGGAGGGATGAAGGGTGGAGGGAGCGGACTGGCAGACGGCAGCGGACGGATCCTTAGCAAACAGTCGAAAAATAAATGTAACAGCGCCTTTCACAAGGACACTGGGCGTGAAAAGTGTGTCGTCGCGCATATGTAAATATTTGCATAAAAACGTTGACAACAGCAACAACAACAACAACAACAACAACAACAAGAGCTAGAGGAAGTAGTAGCAGAAGCGGAAAATATAAATCGGGGGCGACAGACTAATGTGGGCATAATAGCTTCCGATTATCGAACGAATAAGCGAAACAGCTTAAAGCAGAGCGACTTAAAGAGCTATAAAGAAGAAGAGGAAAATATGAAAGCGAATCGGAGAGCAAGGAGTATATTTCTCCTTTGTTTCCCAATGTCTCCAATGCGCTTTCATTTTCCCATTCGCTTTCATATTTTCTTATTGTTTGTTTCTCTTCAAGTCGAACTGCTTTAAATCTGCAATATTTAATATACAATACTTAAACGTGCTTAAAATTCTTCAAGCGTATGCTAAAATACATAACTTTATAGAAAGTAAATGCAGTTGAAGTTGATTTTTAAATAAATATAAAACTAAATTAAATTATGTAAGCGTTAATATTGCCCGACTGAGCGATACCCTGAACTTTCAAGTTTTCAGTTATAGTTATTCTATATTGTATATGTATTGGAAACGATGTACACAAATCTACTAGCAAACACATATACATACACACACATACGCATATACATATACATATGCATAGATATGAATAAGCCGATATAAAACGAACGATCTATGGAAATGAGTTATCGCAAAATATATTAATTCTTATACCCTGAACCCGTTTTCAATGGGAAATCAGGATATAATGGTTAGGTTAAAAAAAAAAACATGCAGTTGGAGGCGTGGCTGACCCCACAATTCTTTATTAGGGCGATGAGTTGAGTTGATTTAGCCCTGTCCGTCTGTCTGTCCGTCCGTATATATGAACGCGTCGATCTCAGAAGATATAAGAGATATAGACTTGAAATTATTATTAAATATCACGGGCATATCGAGCTAAAGTCATTGTCCTTTCAAGGTCACTGCCTTTCCAAGGTCATTGCCCCCTCAAGGTTTTCTTACTTATTATTATATGAAATCTATACAAATATTTGTATATACAGATATTTCTTTCTGTGCCGATTGAGTTATCTCTGTTCATACGGACTAACAAATCGATGTGCCATATGCTAGGCGGGACTCAGTTTCTTCTACTGCAAGAAATAATTTTGAACACAAAAAGTTTTCAAAAAGTATTTCTCAGAAAATTCAAATGTATAATATTTTAACAATTAAGGTCACAAGCAATGCAGGAGTCAATTATTATTAACTTTCATCAGAGTTAAAATTAATTTTACGCTCTTTTATATATAACTAACTGTAGGTCAAGTATTCATTTCTTATAAGAAACAACATGTAAAAGAAAACTAAGCCGTATTTCAATTTATATAAAGACACATATGTATAACAATTATAATTCATATATCTTCCTACATATATCTATATTTATTTCTCTTTGTACACATTCTCTTACATTTAAATAAATATCCTTACAGATAAGACACAATATATTCATTCCCATCTCTTCATTTGCTTTATTCATAATTTATAGGCAAAACATATACACACGCACAGGAGAAGTCCAACTCTTAGCTCTAATTCCCATTGTCTTGTGGCATGTGGCAGGCAGGCAATTTTCATAGTTTGCATTTTCCGACTTTGGCATATTTGTGCGACAAATTGCGAGCCAATTCCATAAAACAGTTGCATACTTTTAGACGCTGCACGAGCACAAAACAAATTGAAAAGAAAAATTATCGGAATGAACAAAATTTCTCGGTGCATGCCTAACAAGAGGCCCCTAACAAAAAGTGGGCGTGGCAGAAGAAAAAACTACAATAGAGAGTGAGTAGACAATGTGTGTATGTATGTGTGTGTGTGTGTGTGAGAGAAGTTTTGTGTGGAACATGTTTGCCATACTTTTTATCTTTGGGCCCAATTCTGTTTTATGCGAGTGAGTTTTTTAAAGGAGGAAGCGAACAACAGGCACCAAAAACTTCTGTAAGTATGTGTGTGTGTGTGTGTAAGGTATAAAGTTGTAAGTGCATTTCGCATAAATGGAAAATTGTTCAATTTATCGGCGCACAGAGGAGCGAGCACACGAGCTGGGAATGTGGCCAAGGCAGCAGACAGAAGAACTTGAGAAACTTTACGCAATTGAAGAGATAAATGTTTATGTTGGTCAACTCCGGTTAACCCTTACGGTTATGTATATGAAGTCCACAGTCTAAATATATATCCAGTTGTGGGCCATGGCTAAATAATTGCCACAAATGAGGCGCATCAAATTTGATTTGATTTGATTTGAGCCTTTAAACCACAGCGGCGACAGCAATCGAAGGACAACAGTTAAAGCGCTGTAAACGGCCATAAGCAGGATGAGACGAGGATGATAAAAATATCAACAAGCCAGCAATAAAACATTCAGCATTCAAGGAGCTGAGGAGCTGAGGAGTAGCCAAGTGAACATTGGACCATTGTCGAAATGACATCAATAAAATATTTAAGGCGACAACAAAGAGAAGCAGCCACCACATTCGCATTCGCATTCACGAATGGCCTTCATGCTTCAGCTACCTCTGGCTCCACTCCTGCTCGTACTCCCGCTCCTGCCACGCCTCCGCAGTTGGCAAAACAAACACAAGGAGGGCGCTGAATGGAGAACTTCACTCGACTGGCGTCATGGCAAACGAGCTTAACAGGATAAACCGATGAGAACTGAGCGAAGGCGCTGTGAATGGTGCAGAGGAGTTGAGGGCGAGAGTGAAGGTAAGCAAGGGGTTGAGAGATGGGGACACTCAGTTGAAGCAGCTTCAGCTTCAGCTTCAGCTGCTTTTCACTCGTCTCGGTTTCAACTCGACTTTGAAGTGCAACATCGGAATTTGAATTCAATCGCAATTGCAATCGCTTCCCTCACAGTCAACTCCAGCCCAAGCCCCATTCTAAATCCTTACCCTCCCTACCCCCTCCATAACTGGCTTTTTATTGCGGCTTCTCATTCTGTCTTCTGTCTTCCCTCACTGTGTATTATTTGTGGACGAAAGCGGCTTAGACTTGTTAGCAACGTCTTTCGTCTGTTAACGGGACTTAGACAACAAGACGCGAAGGCTTGCTCTGGCAATCGCGAACGACAATCAGGGTTAGCACAGAGATGGGTTGCCAGCGATAGGCGAGAGTAACCGCAATTGGAATTTGAGATCCAAATTGGGCTGTTACTTCGAATGTTGACCAAATGAGCTTCTCCCAGGATTCCCATTTTCGATTTCTCATAATTCGCTTCATTACGCGGGCCACAGCAGCGATAAGATCTGAAATGTATTTATATAAGAATTTGCATATTTTAATGCAACCAGCGTCGATTTCCCAGGGGCAACAAAATCGCTATCAAAGCTCATTCGATTACTAAAAATCAGTTGAGAGTTTCGCTTTCGATTTGCTAGCGTCCAATTTCATTGCATATTTATGGTATATTTATAGAAGGAGAGAAAAAACTCTTAAAGCTGCATTTAAGCTTTACGCTTCAGCCAGCCGAACGTGGGCCTTGGGCTTTGGGCTAAGGCTATATCCCTCTGACATCGTCGCGACTGGGGCTTAGTCCGAGTGATAAATGGATGTCCGCTCACTGTTGCTTCGCCTTGTGGCACTTTGTTTAAAGCGAGGCTGCCCCACTTGGCGCTGGCGAAGTCAAAAGTGTATATCGAATTACCTTTTAATGGGCCGGGCAGGGCAGGCAAGGACATGCTCGGAACGAGACACGACTTGAAATCCAAGTGTTAATCGATGCATGAAATGTACAAATTTAATGCAAATTTAATATAATTAGTGAACCTACCGAAAAAAATAAAATACAAAAATATATACACACTCGTATATAACCAATAATCGGGCCGGGCAAAGTTTTCTCCTAGGGGGCGCGACGTGCGAAATGCAATTGGGACATAAATTTCCATTTTCGGTTTTTTGTGCCCTCGGGACTTCGCAGTAATTTAACGCTAAGTTTTTTGTTGCCTGCTGTTGCTTTTGTTGTTGTTGTTTTTGTTGTCGTTTCTTGTGGTTTTGGCCAACGCCGACGCGCCAAAAATAAAATAAAATAGTAAACATGCCGGCTATAAGTAGAAAGCAAATGGAAAGTGGCCAAAAGTTGAAAGGAACGACTAGAATATACCCGGCATGCCTGCCAGTGGATTTTACGTGGTGTGGGTATTTCGGGTGCTCAAATAAAGGAAATATTCATAATCTATAACCTTCGATATCTAAGAATATCTTTATAAACAAGATATTCCTAGCTTGCCAATGTATTTGACTGTTGAGGTTATGTTGAATATGTACTGGGATATTCATACTCTGTCTATCTCTCCAGCTCCATCTCGTTCTTTAACCGGATAAGGATCTGATGTTTATGATGTATATAAGTATATAATGGAATACTCAGTCTATCTATATACATCTAAATACATGACAAGTCATTGACTTTAGATATAAGCTACATACCATTACTCATAGATTGTTGATTAGACTCTTGAAAAAAATAAAAACAATCTCCTGGGCAACGCTAATATACCCTCGCTAGGCATTTTCAATGAGTTCCCGGCTGTACTAAGAATGCGCAAAGCAACTAAGTGTATTCTTAGCCCGCTCTACGCCTCGCCTCGTCTCGCCTCGATGATTGTGCCTGTCCACATTCATGTCCTGCTCCTCCTTGTTCCATCTGACCGCAAAAACTAAAATGGGCAAAAGTTTTTTATTTCGGGCAGTCGGTGCAGCGGGGCAGCCGGAGGAAGAGCTTGCCTCAATTTACGCGGCTTTGAGTGGTTTTTGTTTTGCTATTTATCTTGGCCTGGTTAGCAGCCAGTTGTCTGCCAGCCCGGCCCGGCCCGGCCCCGCCCCGCCCAGTCGCGGACCCTTTTGTTTAGCTAGCCATTTTCCCATTTTGGCGGCAATTTAATGTCGTCATAAATACAAATTCCAAGCGCTGAAAGACTTTTTGCAGCTGCTTTAGCTGCGCTTGAACTTCATTTCGCGGTATCCTGCCCGCTGCTTGTGCTGCTGCTGCTGCTACTTTAATCCCTCGCAACTCTGCTGCAATTCTATTAACTCTCATATATATATATATATCTCGCTCTCGCTCGCCCTTTCTTGCTCTGTCGCTTGGCCACTTGGTAGTCTCTCAATTGCCAATAAATTTTAGCCGTTATCAAGCCAGCAGCCCGTCCACTTATTCATACACGTGCCAGCAGCCGGAACTGCAGCTGCAGCTGCAACTGGAACTGGAACTGGAACTGACTCCACTGAACGTGCATAAGCATGGGCGGTAACTGCTTTTGCTGCCACAGTTTTTGCATTTATTTATTTCACTCTTTTTTTAGCTACACATTAAACTAGGCAAAAATTTAGCTACGACTGCATTCACTTTTGTGTGCGCTTTTTTCATGCCGATATAAAATCATTAACTGGCATAATCAGTTATTGAGTGAATTTTTGCCATTTAAGTTTATGTAGAGCACGATATGTGGATCCACAAAAACATTTATTTTATTATTATTATTATTATTATTATTATTATTATTATTATTATTATTATTATTATTATTATTATTATTATTATTATTATTATTATTATTATTATTATTATTATTATTATTATTATTACTATTATTATTATTTTGAATTTTTTTTTTTTTTAAATAGTGTAATAAAAATTTTAATACTATATCATTAAAATATTGATTGTACATTGTTATTTCATACCTTTTCAATTCTAAAAGTCATTTTAAAAATCTTTATTTCAAAAAAAAAAAAAAACTCTGATTTTAATTGCAACAATAAGGATTAAAATAAGGATTTCAGCTTCAAAATTTGTTTTGTTTTTCTTCAAAAAACCTTGTCAAATTATTATTTTTCTTTTTTTTAGATTTTACATAGTGTTAGTTTTTTAAATTTAAATTTCAAATTAAATTTAATCTGAAATTTATGAAAATATAAAAAATTATGTTTAGTACAGAAGAATGTCATTTATAAATTATATTTAACTTAACCTAAAATGTATAAAAATGGAAATTATTTTCAGCAAAGAAGAATGTAATTTATAGCAAATACCTGACGTATCTAGTATAGCCACACAGCCTTACTAAATAGATTTCTGCTAAGAGATAGACCAAGTGAACTGTTATGTTGTAATGTCTTTGACTGCATATCTATTTCCCAGTTGTATCCAACGAAATTTCATTGCAACGCATGCCGCAAGTCTCCATGGAGCAGCCTAGACACAACCAGAATGCCTCGTGTCCTTGCACTTGAGAGCAACACAGTGGCAAATGTAATAATAAAAAAAAAAAAAGAACACAAAACAAAATAGAAACCAAAAAAATTGTAGAGCGAAAGAACAAACGAAGAACAAACCACCAGAGCACGTTCTCCAGCGGGAAATGTTTTCCGCTTGCAAGAAGCCCGCCCGCCCGTTTCCTCCTCCTTCTGCTCCCGCCTGCTGCTGCTGCTGCTTCGCCATGTGCTGGAGCTCTACAAGTGCCGAGTTTGGCCGTCGTTTGTTTTGCCGCGTTGAGTGCAAATTATTTATGCCACATGCGGGACGCCAAACAAACACCTGCCCCCAACTCTCAAGAAGAGGCAGCTGCAGGGGCAGGGGCAGAGGCAGAGGCAGCGGCAGAGGCAGCTGGCAATGCAATCAAAGTAAGCAACAAGAGATGGAAATAGAGCAAGAGAGAGCAAGGGAGTGAGAGAGGGAGAGAGAGAGGGATACAAAAGCCACATTTGCCATTTTACACTTTCCACTTTCCATTTTCACTCGAGTGCAATTTGGGCGCTTTGGTTGCTCCACGTGTCTCGCGCCTTGGCCGGAAGTTGAAGTCTTTTGTTTTCATTTCCGTTATTTAATGCAAGTGGCATTGTTGCTGCTGTTGCTGCTGTTGTTGTTGTTGTTGTTGCAGGTGCCGCTGCCAGCTGCCTTGACTAACATAATATATGACAATGGCCCGTCTGCAGCAAGCGCTTGCTGCCTCCTGCTCCAGCTGCTCCTACTCCCAGCCCCATGCTGTACCCATCTCAGCCCTCCTCGCTTCGCTGTCAACAACGCCTTTTAACGCCGCAGAACTTGTTGGCACCTACTTGTCCTTGGCTGTGGGTCCTTTGCCGTCGCATCCTTTCGCCACTTGGCAGCGCATTTGCATTTCGAGCTCCCTATGTGAGTTGGTTAGTTGGCTTTTCGACTACATTTGAAAAATGTTCCCTTGGCTGCTTTTCTTTACTTTGTTTTTTATGTTTTCTATGTTTTTTTTTGTTTCTACTCTAAACGAAGTTAACCAGATTTTCATGCTCAGATAATGATTTTCGCCTTTATTTGCATGCGAATTTTAACAGAGTCTAGCTCATTGTTGTCGTTATTGTTGTACTTTCTCTTGACTCATAGTCGATATTTTTGTGGCACATTTATGGGCTCTGCTGTATGTGGGTTTTGTTTTTTTTTTTTTTTTTTTTTTTATATGAAATTTATGATTTGAATATGTGTTTAATATTTATTTCTTTGCTGCTGAGTGAGAGACAGAAAGAGATGGATAAATATAGGCAAGAAAGTATGAATTTATAAATGTATATATATATATATATATATATTGCTAACTGTATATTATATTATTATCCTGCCATAGTAAAGGCATATGAGGATAAGGATTCGTGTTGCCTTGCACCTTTTGAAAGCCGTGCGAGAGTCAAAATTTGTGATGGCTTTGAGACTCTGCATATACTCGCTTCTAATTGATTTAGTTTAGGTAAAGGTTAGCTTACAATGCTCGTATGCTGCTTAATCCGCATTGATGCAGCAGTATCCCACGGTCCACCTAAGCGCCCCACCCACATTCAAAAACAATTTTTGGGTTATGAGGCAACTTTGAGCTCAGCTGCATTTACGCTCAATCTGCCACACACTTGCCTTGACGGCCACAAATTGCTTTTTAATAACTCAACTATAAGCCAAGTTAAACTAGCAGCAGCAGCAACAACAACAACAACAGCAGCAGCAATTGTTGGTACTGTTTCAATTTACCAACTGGCAGTTAAATGAAGGCAGCAAACCGCAAACTATGCAAGCAAATCTGTTAACTATTCCCGCCCCACTCCAAGCTCTATTCCAAGTTCTTGGCTTAGCTCCCATTTGGGGGCCAAGCACCCCAACTTCCTTACCCAATGCATGGCGTAAATCTCTGTTTTTGAATAGTTTCGCCAAACCAAAAATGTGGCTCTCCCACTGTCCCTGTCCCTGTCTCGCGCGCGCTCTCTCTCTCTCTCTCTCTCTCATGCTCATCTCCTATCTCGCTCTTTCGCTGTCGAAAGTTTAAAACTTGAGCAATTTGTGAATTTAGTGCCAAACTTTGCATTCAGTTTTGTTTCTCCACTTTTTCATTATCGTTTGCTGTTTGCTTTGTTGTTGTTGTTTCTGTTGGTTATGTTGAAGCTAAGTTCTCATCAGATTCCCATTGCCATTCCCATTGTGCTGTTGTGGCTGACCAAATTGCGATTGTTGAGATTTCTCGACAGCAATTGAGCAAATGATTAACTCCTCGAAATAATAACAAAGTTATTTGTCATAAATATGTACTTAAGTACGATTGCGAAATTAAATGGAAATGTCAAAATATGCAACAAATTAAGTTCTTTTAATTTAGCTTGCAAATAGGAAATATAAAGTGCCAAATATTTTTAGTGATAACATTGAAATAGTAAGAATACACATGTGTATACATATATGAGCCATTGCATTCCGGTGCTTTGAACATAGATAATCACTCATCTTATCTCAACAGTGTGTGCACGCACAGAGTGAATCATAAGGTGAGCATACGGAGGTAAATACATATGCATATGGGAGTGTGACCTCTGTAAGCTCTATAACTGGAAACACACATACATATTTTACGCTATTTTACGAGCAAGAAGGCAACAAAAAAACCTAGAACCCACAGAGCGTTGCGTGGATCGTAAGTAAGAACTAAGCAGAAGCATTGCCTCCTAAGCCTTAAATGTAGTCCATATCCACACACACACTTTTGCATACTTCTTTGCTCTGAGCGAGAAGATAACAGCCTTACTAAGAAAGCATTTGCAGTGCTTACACACTTTAAGGCAGCAAAGGCGCTGGGATTACACTGAGCGACTGAGCACTGTTAGTATGCGCGAGAGCGGAATAATAATAATAATAAACACCAATCCCACACACACACATGTGGGATTCCTTGCTCTGCGCGAGAAGATCACAAGAAAACTTAGAATCCACACAGAACCGCTTGGATCGCAGCTAAGAAATGAGAGCATGTAAAATGCTCAGACGTATTAAAGCAGTAATAATGTGTGGACTATATTAAGCAACTGAGCGCTGTGTCAATGTACGTATTTACATATACATTATGGTCGAGAGTTGGCAAAGTAGTTATACAGATAATAAGAGCGTGGCATTTATCTTAGTTGAGCGACTATTGAGCTTTTTTCTTGTTATTGAGCAAATGCATGGTGAAGTCGCTTTTTGTATCAATTGCGCTCAGTTGCTCGAGAACTGTCGCTTTGCTCGTTGCCGGTGCGCATATCTTTGGTTCTGCGTTAAACATATATGTATATGTATGTACATACATACTCTTATGTATTTACATATAGATGTACATACATCAAATCTACTTTTTTATCACGTGAGCTAGCATTCTTATTAATCTGTTTTAAATTATGGAAACTTAAAATCGAAGTAAATAAGCAAATATTGTATTAAGTTACCTATTTAATCAAGAAAAGAATAAAGTAAATATAAATTTATAAAGGGTATTCCAGCAGGTAATTTTTACTATATCACCAGTTTTACTTATTTTTTGCCCAGCTTACTCTAATTCTATGTTCTCTTTTGTTTTATCCTCCCCTATGCGCTAAGCAGCACTATAGAACCGTTATGAGCAGAGCCAGACTGCAAGCAAATGCAGACAGCTTATAAAAGTATGAAACATAAAATGGGACTATTTAACAGCGACACGAACGCCAAATCGCAAAGAGCACAGCTGAACAGGCAGACAGAACAACAACACCAGCAATGAAAGCAACAGCAACAACAACAATAAGAACACCCATGAAATGTTCCATATGCAATGCAACAACAAATAGCGCTGCATTTTCTTTTTGTGGTAATAAAAACTAATTAAATCTGCACGAAAAACACGCCAACAAGCAACAGTGAATCCTTGTTGTTGTTGTTGTTGTTGTGTTGCTTGCAGTGTGTAACATGTTTCAACACTTTGCGTCTGTTGTGAGCCCAAAAACTATGGAGGCAGCAGCAGCAGGGACGTATTCAAATCCACATTGAAAATTTAATAACCAAAAATTTGCAGCCGAGTTGCGCTTCAGTACTTTCATCTTCTTTTTTTTTTTGCCTCTCTCTCTCTCTCTATCTTTCTGTTCTTTCATGGGCAACCAAATTGCGAAATTGTGCTGAGTAGTGGCTGCCCCCAACTCTTTGCCGCTCTCTCCTCCGCTCTCTAGCCAGGCTCTCTCTGTGTAGTTATCTTCATCTACTTTACGCTGACTGTGACTGTGTTGTTGCCGTCACTAGCTGTTATTGTTATACCCTGTTGCTGGCAAGCGGGTAGTGATGTGTGTGAGAGCTGTGGAATGTAGAAATGTTAAATAGATGTACACATCCTTAGAGAATATCTATATTTTGCATCTGTTTCATATTTAATATATTTTTAATTAGATTCATACGAATTAGCTTGGCTTTCTAGCTTTCGATAACGAATTTACACTCGACACTGGGTATCTTTAGTTCGACTCTCACATTTTGTTTTTCCCATTTATTCTAATTGTTGGTATTCCTGTTGTATCTGTTATTCATTTATGTTTTATGTGGCATTTGTCGTCGACTGTTTTTGGCACACGGAACGGAACTTTTTGGCAGACAGTTGCTGCTGCTACCGCTGCTGCTGCTCGTGCTGCTGTGATTTTTGTTGGTGTTGTAATTATTATTGTTGGCACTTGGGCTTGAGTTGTGCCGTTGTGGTTGTTGTTGTTGTTATTGCTACTAAGTAATAAGCGACCGCAATAACAACTACAACAACAACACAAAAGTGTCGACAGACGAAAATGTAATAAAATTGTTGGCAAGTCTACAGCCACAGCAGCAGCAGCGGCGGCGACGGCGACGGCAGCAGCACAAGGTTGAGGACATAGTCGAGCTGCCAGCGCGCGTTGGCTGCCAAGTGCCCAACGTCAAAGAACGCACATACACACACGCCTACACTGACATTGTTACACACACACACACACACATACATACCATAATGGCATTGTAATGCTCGTAAGCAGGTGTAATTGAATGGGCCTGCCGCGTCGCCCCCAGTTGCTACCAGCAAAACTCCCAGCGGAGTTTTCACTTTTGGCACGAGATTTCAAGTGAGCTACAACGTGTAGCAACACAAATGCCCACAGGTGTGTCTGTGTGTAAGTGTGCTGAGCTTTGTGTTTGTGTGTGTGTGTGTGTGTGTGTGTGTGTGTGGCTTTCCGGTAGCAGGAAATTTCATATGCATTGTGGACGGGCATTAAATGTGATAATTGTATTAATTGTTGACTGAAATATTGTTTAACAAGCTGTGGATAGAGCTATGGCCGAAAGATGTGGCCTAAATGTGAATTAAGTATAAATTATGATTGATAAATGTGTTTAAATAACTTTATTATTTTTAAGTCTTTACAATTTATTCCACTTTCAGCATGTGACCAAACGGATGAAATATGGCCGCAGGATCTAACTTAAATATAAATAAGGTATACATAATTATTATTTTCATTTATCTAAATTTAGCTGAGGTTTCAATAATTGTCAGCATAATCAATCAATGAAATATATTTAACTCAAATTATTTGATTCTTTTACTTTTAGGAAACATTAAGATCATTTACAGAATCCAACTTCATATACTTGGGACATGTATGTGTAATTTTAATTTGTTTAATTATTTTTAATTATACACTGTTTATTTCAGATTGAAGAAATCATGAACAACAAACAGAAGTCCTACGAAGCCCTATGAATGGATTTATAAATTTCTTTTTATTTTATTGATTACTATAATATTTTTATCGTTTCAGATTCCAAAAGCACATTGATCAATATTTTCCTAGAATTATGTTAATTTATTTGAGATATTAGCACTAAGGGTTTTCATGTAAACAAATAAATTAGATAAGAGAATTTTATTCATGATGTATAATTATAATGATTATGTTCAGCTGGATTAGTGACACACACCATAACAATGACCTATACTAAAATGAAATTGATCGGAAGAACCCAATGATTTAGAGTCCTCAAAATCTAAATTAAAGCCTATGCCGGGGATTCATCTGTATTCAAAATGGTTGCAAGTTGGGCGATATATATATTATTAGTGATATAATACCAATAATATAGTCCTAGCCAATCAAACAGACCAAATCAATAGAGCAATGGTCCCAAAATTAGAATTCTATTTCTTTCAGCCGCTAAGCTAGAGACCATGACTTAGCAGCTTCAACTACGGCTGCAGACTGAGCAGGCGCAAGTGTTTTTGAGCAGCCGACTTAGTTGCTCTTGAGCAGGCGACTTAACAGTGCACATGCTCTTAAGCTGCTAACATTACAGCCTGAGTTGCTCTTCGGAAGCGCTTTACAAATGTTATATACTCTTGAGTACCTCGTCGGTATCACTCAACTCTCACTCATAATAGCCACTCAATTTACACAAGTATTTATCTAACATTATCTAACAGTGAGCTTAGGTTCCACTCTGTTACTTAACATAATTATGTTAGTTTACATGTTTCATCCGACTGATCAATTCTGTTCGCCTGGTAACTTCAGTCGTATTTTCATTGAAATTCGAGACACTACGATTTGGTGGCTGGCCCCTTGTGGATATGCAACAAAAATTTATAGCGCTTATATTCGGCCTCTGGCTGCTCCGTTCAGTTGGCCTGGTATTTATAGTAATATTTTGTACAAATTTGGGCAATTTTGTAAATTTAAATAAAAATTTATAATTAAAATAATAAAATGAGGTTTTTAATTCAATTACCAGAGAAGAAAATACCATTTTTTTTTTTAGTTGCATAGTAATTTAATTTATTTTTATTTCAGGAAGAATTCATGCGATGTAATGACTTTGTTACAGAATGATAATATCAATGTTGTATTTTGCTGGGTCCTGATCCCTTTTTCTGCAGAGTGGGTAACATAAGTGGTATCTAAAGAAAATGCAAAACTAAGTTAACTTAGCGATGGGTTAAATAGGTTAAACATTATTTACCAATCAAATGTAGCTCATCAAAATCTTCAGCTGGACACAGTCAAAATACATCAGCGCAGCCAAATTTTACAAAATTTTCTGTGAGAAAAATACGTTAAATATCATTTAAGGGTTATTCAGTTCAGATCAAAGAATAGTAGTTTCTAATTCTTAACAGGATAAACTGGCTTATTCATAATAGACATAATACAGACAAAATTACTCGACGCTCTTCTTACCCGCACCAATAACAGGCTGTAGCCCATATATATAATGCCACTGATCCGTTAAGCGTTGCTAAAAGAAAGGATGGAGAATACGTGGCGTGTGTGTATGTGTGTACTACGTGGAACGCCTCAGCCCATGCATGCAAAAGCAATGGAAGAGCGATCAGCTTAACTTCTTCTTCATCGAAGCTTTACTTGTGTAAACAAATATATAAATCATACGTTTATATATATTTGCTTCTCTTTTGCAATTTCTGGCTGAAATATGCATTGGTTTTAATTAAACAGTTAAAATATAGTAAAAAAAATGCAATTATATGCGAAAATGGAATTGAAATGCTAATTCATCAATCATAAATTCCTAATATTACACTTAATTATTTGCAATAGGATATGCATGTGTATGTACACAGAGAAATACACATTGTTGTTTGTATGTATGTATCACATAAAACAAAATGATGTGCACCACTCTGATTAAAGCGCCAATTCGCAATGAACTGAGTGCAGCAAAGTGTAGACCCGCGGATACATTCCACATTAGCACTAACACTATAAGCACTCAGCTACAATAATTCTAGCTCCCTAATATAGACCAGAGAATGTTTGTGTTAAAAGCTGCTATCCACATACACATATATATCAGCTGAGCTCTCACGATCTACACCATGCTCTCACTTGCACGAACGAGATCCGCCAATCACACGCATTCTAGGCAGCGCTCGCTGCACTGCTTCGGTAAATGTGTGCCTGTATGTGTGTTTACGTGCGTGCAAAGCTTCTCAGAATAACTGTTGGACGATCCACTTGGCTTCCCACTGAGTTATTTGGCTCAGCTCTTACTTACGATCCAAGTTATGTTCTCAATTGCAGATATCACGCTTTCTGTGCCTCTCTCATTAACTATTAAGAAGGCTCTCAATTTGAGTTCCACTGAGGCACTTTGCTTTCACTTATGATACAGGCTGTTCTGTTGCTCGGAGTGAACTTTTTTGCTGAACGCAAGGGAAGGCATATGCATCAGTTACACATAATTCTGCATACCCTTCTAGAGGTTATTATGATTAAGCTAAGCAATAATTTGTCTATTTAGTGTCCAAATTAGAAGCAATAAACTTAAAGTTGACAAATTCAAGTTATTCAACAACTGGGAATAGCATCCGTCACACTTATTGCCGAAAGGTGGACGAATTTTAATTATCATAAAATTGAATGATGGTCATCAAAAGCTCAACTAGTTTATGGCTAGCATTCAAATATTAGCCCGGCAGGCACAAAGGGGCGGCGACCACTTCAAAAGCAACTCACTGAAGGCGTTCGCTCATTAGCCAAGTGGCCTCCGGGCCGGCATGGTAATTTGATATTTTATTGACTTGCCGGCAACCACAACCACAACCACTCAAATTGCCAGCCTATTAATAGTAGTCGGAAGGAAGGAACACTTTAAAATTAAATGCAAATTTGCCCAGCGAATGCGGAAAAGTCATTTATCATTTCTGGCCGCGGAGTCCTGACGCTCCTGTAAACACCCCGTCGGATAATGCCTGGCATAGATACTAGACTAGACTCTAGGTAAATGGACAAAAGCTGAGTTCAAATTTCAAGCGTCAGCCACAAAATGTTTCGGTTCAATTTGTTGCTGCGCAACGAAATTAGATCAAAGGAAATCGAAAGATGAAATCTTAACTGATTCCATAGTCGAAAGACGGAACGCAAATTGATTGCCGCTGGGAAATCGACGCTGGCTGATTAAAATATGCAAATTTCATAAAAATGAGAGAAATAAAATAAACTTCAATTCTTATCGCGCGCTCAGCTCGGTCGAAGCTTAAAAAATAATATGGCAAATCGTAAGGGAAGCCGGGGATACACCACTTGACTGCCCATTTGGTCAACTGTCCAATTCGGATTTCAAATTCCAATTCCTGTTACTTTCGCCTATCGATGGCAGCCCATCTCTGAGCTAACCCTGATTGTTGGTCGCGATTTCTTGAGTAAACTCTGACTACGACCCCCTTGCATTGAGCCTAAGACCCGTAAACAAACGAAAGACGTTGCTAACAAGTCTAAGCCGCTTTCGTCCACAAATAATACACAGTGAGGGAAGACAGAAGACAGAATGAGAAGCAGCAATAAAAAGCCAGTTATGGAGGGGGTAGGGAGGGTAAGGATTTAGAATGGGGTTTGGGCTGGAGTTGACTGTGAGGGAAGCGATTGCAATTGCGATTGAATTCAAATTCCGATGTTGCACTTCAAAGTCGAGTTGAAACCGAGACGAGTGAAAAGCAGCTGAAGCTGAAGCTGCTTCAACTGAGTGTCCCCATCTCTCAACCCCTTGCTTACCTTCACTCTCGCCCTCAACTCCTCTGCACCATTCACAGCGCCTTCGCTCAGTTCTCATCGGTTTATCCTGTTAAGCTCGTTTGCCATGACGCCAGTCGAGTGGAGTTCTCCACTCAGCGCCCTCTTTGAGTTTGTTTTGCCAACTGCGGAGGCGTGGCAGGAGTGAGAGTATGAGCAGGAGTGGAGCCAGAGGTAGCTGAAGCATGAAGGCCATTCGTGAATGCGAATGCGAATGCGAATGTGGTGGCTGCTTCTTCTTTGTTGTCGCCTTAAATATTTTATTGATGTCATTTCGACAATGGTCCAATGTTCACTTGGCTGCTCCTCAACTCCTCAGCTCCTTGAATGCTGAATGTTTTATTGCTGGCTTGTTGATATTTTTATCATCCTCGTCTCATCCTGCTTATGGCCGTTTACAGCGCTTTAACTGTTGTCCTTCGATTGCTGTCGCTGTTGTGGTTTAAAGGCTCAAATCAAATCAAATTTGATGCGCCTCATTTGTGGCAATTATTTAGCCATGGCCCACAACTGGATATATATTTAGACTGTGGACTTCATATACATAACCGTAAGGGTTAACCGGAGTTGACCAACATAAACATTTATCTATTCAATTGCGTAAAGTTTCTCAAGTTCTTCTGTCTGCTGCCTTGGCCACATTCCCAGCTCGTGTGCTCGCTCCTCTGTGCGCCGATAAATTGAACAATTTTCCATTTATGCGAAATGCACTTACAACTTTATGCCCCCCACATACACATGCATACACACATACTCACACTTGCATGCAGAAGTTCTTTTGTGCTGGTGCCTGCTGTTCGCTTCCTTCTTTAATAAACTCGCATAAAGAATTGGGCCCAGAGATAAAAAGTATGGCAAACATGTTCCACACAAAACTTCCATACACCCACACGCATACAGATACAGCATACGACATTATCAAAGCTGTTGAAATGCTTGTTTCGCCTTTGTTGCCGCCAGAGGGCGCTGCCATGGTTTAATAGAAAGTAGCTCGGGTAATAGCTATTTCCTATACATTTTTCATAAATATAATTCCATTTTTTCGTGTGCGCGCGAATGCACTATTCTCTTGTCTACTTTTCCTCTCCCTTTTCTTCCTCTTGTTAGTTGCCTTTGGATTTGTAATTTATTTTTCCAGTATTTTGGCTTCATTTGTATTTGTTTGTTGACTTTGTTAACTTTTTTGTTGCTTTTGTTCTTGTTTTTGTAATTGTTGTTACTGTTGCATGCAGATGCAGTTTTCCGCTGAAGATTTTTTTCTAGCCTTGCGGAAATTGTCGTGAATAGTTCATTTCAGGATTCCAGCATTTTTCAGTTATTTTTTATATTTTTCTTTCCCTTTTTCTTTTTTTTTTTTTTTTTTCTTGCCAAAGTTTGTCCAAGCAGCTGCGATTGCAATTGCCATTTAGTTGTTTGTTGTTGTTGCTGTTGTCAGTTGTTAGCACAAATAATTTCCCCTTTATGTAGATGAGTCCGGCGCACTGTCCGCGCTGTCCTCGTTTTGGCCCGTAATGAAATTGACATCTTGTGTCGCGATTTCAAGCTGATTTCCCATTTTTCTTTTTTTTTAGCGTCATCCTTTTCTACTTTCTTCTTTCGCTGTTGCTGCCGCTGCTGCTGCTTGTTTTTTCCATCCAGCATGGAAATTCAGTTTTTCAGTTTTGCCTGCCTTGCAATTCAATTTCCGCATTTGTTAAGCTCCTTAGCCAGGACCTTTTAATAAATTGCGCAAATCACTTATTTTTATTTTATGTAAATATTTTGATGATAAATTGTTTGACATTAGCATATTATTATGGAGTTATGGAAATCCATTTTAGTATTTAGTGCAAGTAAAACTAAATGTTGAGCCAATTTTTTGTTTATTTTTTTAGTATTATGTTCTTTCTTTTTTCGTTTTTATACCCTGAACCCATTGAAAATGGGAAATCAGGGTATAATGGTTTTGTGAAAAAGTATGTAACGGGCAGAAGGAGGCGTGGCAGACCCCACAAAGTATATATATTCTTGATCAGCGCGACGAGCTGAGTCGATATAGCCCTGTCCGTCTGTCCGTCCGTCCGTCCGTCCGTCCGTCCGTATGAGTGCGTCGATCTCAGAAGTTATAAGAGCTAGAGAGCTGAAATTTGGCATGCATACTCGTGTGTACCATACGCAGTACGAGTTTGCTTTATTTTTTCGATAAATCATCCGATAACTTTTTTATCGAGAATAATCGAAAAATTGATTTTGTTTTTTCAGCCTAATTTGAACATTTTTAGACCTGGAGTGTTCAAATTTGGGTTGTATATAAAGTTAATCGATACAAAGATTTTGTAATTTACAGATTTTGGATACCACGCCCCCTTCGCCCCAAATTTGTAAAAAACGCATTTCAAGTACTAGAGACTTGTGCTTTGGAATGTACACACATATTCATCATATGATTACACTCTGAAAGTTTCATTAAGATCTTATGTCTACAAAAGAAATTATTCAACAAATAAATTCTCATAATATGCCCACACTGCAGCGCAGCCCAAGCGCAGTCGCTGCTTACTGCGCAGTTAGCAGAGCGCAGGCCTATGCGTGCGTGTGGATGCATGTGTATGTATGTGTGCATACAAAGTGCAGAATGATTAGAATATCAGCTTAGAGGGTTCAGGGTATCTCCTAGTCGAGCAGTCTCGACTAGAGCCTTCTTACTTGTTAGTTTATTTATTACTATTATTAATCTAAATTTTTTTTTTTTTCTAAAAATTCCTTATTTAAATGGGATTTTATACATAACTTGGACATCTGAAAAGCTGGAGATTTATACTTGATGACTTCCCTCCGTTTTCTTTTACTTAGAAAGAATTTTATGTAACTTAACAATTACTTTTGAGTGATGTCGTAATATCATCTATTAATTATCTATCTATTATTATTTAATATTTTTTTGCTATTCCACTTCATTCCATGTCCCAATTTCTTTGCTGAGCTAGTGTTCACTCTCTCGCTCGCACACACACACTTATCGCTTGCTTTTTCTCTGGCACAGACTCTGGCAATTCGCGTCACTTAAACTCGTTATTAAAAATCGAAAACTGCTATGAAAAATGCATGAAACAGAGTGTGGACCTAACGTTTGTTAACAATAATAAAATTGGAAATGATAAATTTTATTATGTTTTTTATTATTATTATTATTATTATTGTTGTTCATTTGTTGTTATTGGTCTTTTACATTCTGAATGAGACTTGGCGTGTAATAAAAAAGTGAATAAATTAATTGTCATAACGAATAAAATGCGGTCGAAAATGCTCAATACTCGAACACGGCAAAAGCTTCCTCACACTTATTGTCAATTAATTCATGATGCACTTTCAAATACTCAGTAAATAAAAGTTAATGCGCCTGAGTGTGGTATGATATGTTGCATATCATATTCTATGTATCTTACGGTATTGAGCAGAGTTTAGCCAAAACCAGGCTATATATTAACAATATTTTTAGGACCCGCTGCTATTTAGCATAATTTAATAGAGAAAATGGAACATGTTATTGTATGTAAGTAATGTATTATATGTATATATGTATATTCATTATTTACCTGAAGTTGTTTGTGATAAACAGCCTTTGACATCCTTCAGCTTAACGTTGGCTGGTTAGGGTATCTTCTGGTCAGGCATTGCTCACAGCATCCGAGCTTCCTTGCTACTTGTATTATTATGTATTATTAATGTGTATTGTTTATCGTTAATGTTTGCTGTCGAGTTGCGTGTTTCCAATATTGTTCGCAATTAAGCATTTCACACATAAAGCATTTGTGGTTGTTTTTGTTGATTTTTATTTCAATTTGTAGTCGGGGCTTATATCAATGCAGTTGCAACTCAATTCGTAGCTTAAATACATGTTACATAGTTATAGTATTCATATATATATATATAATGTGTGTTTACATTTAGTTGTAAATCTTTAATATATATATATATTTAACATATTTTTATTTTGTATTGAAAGCAACACAACTATTTAGCTTAAATGTTTAACATTCTCATTAAGTATATGTTTTTCCTTTTTTTTTTCTATTTTTCTTACACAATATTTTTTATTTTTGTAAGCCTTAATTACATTTTTCCTAATTTAAGCTTTAATATACTTTTTTTTTTTTAACAATATGTTGATGGCTAATGAAAAAAAACAACTTAATTTTAAATGTAATAAAATTCATTTAAATTGTGTTCAGATTTTTCTTGATATTTCTTGTGAACATCTAATTTGTTTTTCTGCTTTTCTTGAAATATGGTTTATGATTTATATGCATCTCAGCTGTATTGGGTCGTTAAAAAAAAAAAAAAAAAAAAACAAGTAATTTTATTTTGGCAAGAAACTTTAAAGCCGACTAAAGACTAAGACTGGACATTAAAAAAAAGTGAGCATGAATGGAGTTATAAAAGATGTGAGTATATACTGGTGTGCTTATGTAAAGCATTTGATCAAATGATGTATTTTCCATTTTGATTCAATACCTTTTGCCTGCTTTCGGACAAGAGTTGTAATTAATATAATAATTTCTGTTATCCCTGCTAACACAAAACTGGTCGAAGTGGTTTTTGAGGTGTGGATTTTAGATGAAAGTTCTTCTACATTGAAATGTAGCAAAAACTGGAGATTCTGTTAGCATTCAAGCCTCGAACACTTTTAGCGTGTCGCCAAATTTGTATAAGGTTGGAGAACTACACCTTTTCTATCAATTAATTCTGAACTCATCTGAAAAAGTGCATCACTCAACTTGTCCAGCTGATCACAATCTTTAAAATCCAAACTATTGAAAAATTATTAAATAAATAATTTAAATTTAAATAATAATTTTATAAACAAGGCTTACTATATCAGCTGTCCAAAGTTCTTGGGTGCTAAACGAAATTAGTTAATGAATGACCCAATAATACATATCTAAGAGCAGCATTAGCTATAAAGCGCATGACCATAGAACTGTAACAAATTATATTCACATCTATCTCCACTCTATATTGTTCAACTTATAAGAAGGTATATATGTATATGTATTTAAGGTGCATCAATATATAAGTACACACACACATACACACATCTCTCATGTATATATTTCTATATATTTTGTTACTATTATTTAAATAATTTTCGATATGTTGTTGTTGTCGTTATTTTTGTTTTAACAATATATTTAGTTGTATATAATTTCGTTTATGTTTGAGATGTGCGTGTGTGAGTGTGTTTGTGTGTGTCATCAGCGTTTAACGCACAAATATATGTATATAAGTGAGTATGTATGTGTCATTATATAATTATTTTAACATTATTCAACTTGAGTACATCAAATTGATATTTTCTCTTTCTCTTACTTTTTGTTCTTTTTCGTTTATTAAGCACAGCATTAAAGCAAAATTAAATTGCAATCGTTTTTACCCTTGTGAAGGTCCATATAATTGTAACTTTACATATATATATATTTATGTATTTATATATATAATCTATATATGATAAGGTTGACGCAAGCTCGGTTTGGCTTAGTCTGCGCAATTTTTCTTTTGGGGGGCCGGATCATAACTAGGGTCTGCTCGACTAGGGGCTATACGAGTATTTTGTATTACATATTGTATATGTATATATATATATATTTATATATTTATATATCGTTTATATGCTAGTCGCCTTAGCCTCATATATAATTCGGATATGTAGCTCTAACACACACTTAAGCTAAGTCTTGCACAAACTTCTCCGCGCACCATGGTTAACAACGTTGGTAGCAAAACCAGCCACGCTATGGCGTCGCTGTCGGCGCCGTTGTCGACGCCGACGCCGGGCGCATTACCATTTCCGTTTGCCGCGTTCAGTGTTTTATCTAGGAAGGATTTTTGTTCAGATAAACCGATTTCATTCAAATTCGACTGATAGCGCGTATCTGATTGATGTTAATGATGTGGGGACACAACACACAAGTGAGCGAGACAGAGACAGAGAGAAAGAGAAAGACAATGAAAGAGACTTTAAAATGGGGAGTACTAAACGAGATAGAGAGATATACTGGAAAAAAATCAAATGTGTTGGGGTAAAACGAACAAGGGGCGTGTGTCAGACTAATATGCTGATGATAGGCTCAAGTTCTACTCACTCTTATCATGTCCGTAATTGGAACGCGTCGCATCGGAGTTGCCAAAGCCAAAATTATTGTTGCCAGCCTCGCCCCAATGAGATTCGCTAGTGTAGAGACCCGAAGAGGCGGTCGTTGGCGGATATGAGACTGGGGTTGAGAGAAGTGAAAATAGAGAGAGAATTAGAAATGACAAGACAAGATATGTTAGTAGTATATGAGTATATATTATAATTTTGTAAGGAAAGAAAGTATTCTACTTAAAGATCGCAGTCTGATCTCTCATATTCTAACACTCTAATGATAGCTATGAAACATAGAGTTCTTATTAATATACTTTCAATATTTTCATTATTTACGTAATGTCGATAGCAATCCATATTAATTAATTTTGTATAATATGTATTAATATTTACATATATATAGTATTATAAACATATATGTTATATATTCTATCGCTAAACATACAACATACAACATAAACATACTTTCTTAATAATTTCGCAATTATCATACGTCTTATACAGCCAGGCAAAGCCTATCGCGTCTCTCCGCGAAGAGCACCTACAGCCAAACCAGTCTAACTTGAGTGAATTGTCTGTATTTTGATTGGCTTACGCTTGCAACGTCTAATTGCTTATAACTAATGCCATCCCACTCACACGCATACTTGCTTCACACTCTCAACTCGCACAGCTATAGCCCTCTCTTTCGCTCTTCATATAAATCGAATTGTTTTTCTGCTACACTTGCTGCTCTCTGTGTTCCCATCTGCCATTGTATTTCAGTTGATTATTGTCAACAAAATGCCTAACTCTAAAAATAGGCCGTGCTTTGTTCTCACACTCTCGCGCTCTCGCTCGCACTCACACTAGCTTGATTACATAAAACAATAACTGAACTTGTTCTCGAGTTTATTTCTTTTGTTTTTTATTTAGCATTTGTTGTTTATAATTCATTTACATATTTTTTTTTTTCTTTTTATTTATACATCAGTCAAATGTATATATATTGGTTGTTGTTTTACTTTTTTTTTAAAGGAATTTGCATGCAAATTGTTCAATTTTTGCAATTTTTCGCACGTCTCATTGCATTTGATTTTTTGTGCTATTTATTTGAAATTCGTGCTGTCTGTTATTTCACAGCACACTCCAAATATATGCATACATGTAGATAAATACATACATATATTTTATTCGCCCGACTTGGTGAAACAAAATGCTAATTATTTTGTATTTTCATTATGTGACAATATGCACAATTTCCCAGTTCCCAGTTTCCAGTCCCCCAGTTCGAGGTTTATATAATTTAAATGTTCAGTTTTTCCCTCGTTACACATCCTCGATAACCATAGACAGCTGTGCGTGCATACTCTATATATATATATATATATATATATATATATATATATATATATGTATATGTTTTCAATTAAAGCACGTTTTAATTATGCCCCGCACCGTGAAATTTATTCAGCACGTTTGTTTCAACCATTTTAAATATGCAAAATCATTTTGATTGTCAAACGCTTTTTGGCCATGTGATGGTACTTATTTTATTAAATATTGAATATACATTCAGCCGACTGAGCAATCTCATTAGAAACTAATTAAAACATTGATTTTCCGACGTACGAAATTGAATAGAATAAATTCTAGTGGAAATGAATGTAAATAATTCTCTACTCCCTTTTATTTTCTATCTATCTTTTTCATATCTATGTATGTAAATATTTTTTATTAAATTTATTTTATCGTTAAAATTTGAATAGTTTAACCTAAAGTTATGTAGACTCAACTTTTATCTATAAATATAACTGTAAGTATAACAATTACTGTTAACAGTTCAATAACGAAAATATTCGATTTAAGACCATTAATTCCCAGCTACAACAAAATGTTGCACACATCTAATGAGCTCTGGAGCTTTAAGTCCAATTCGACTAATTAAGAGATTCATGTCCAGCAGGAGGAGGAGGAGAAGCAGGTGGAGGCGATGAATGCGAAAGAGAGACATGAATGTGGAAATAGAAAAAAAAAAGCCAGCTCCATGGCACATTGAGAAAGTGCCGCATTGGCCTTAACACGAATTGACAAATTTCCAGCTATTTAGCCATCGAGGCGAAAGCCAGAATAAAAAGGAAATCTCGACCGCAATAGCCCAGAAACGGAGCGACTTAATTGCCTGGCCAGGAAACGTGAACTTTTCAGCATGGCAAGATGCAGAGGGCGAAGCGTGCGATCTGAAGTAAAAGACGAATGCTTAACACCTTACAATGCCCTGGTCGATGCTTGGCCAAAAACTAAAGGCTGCAGGGCTGAGCCATAATCAAGCCACTGGAAATCAAGTCACGTGCTCTGTGCCTGAGGTATGGAATCGGTGGGGCAGACCGGTTGGTTATCCTCGCACACAAGCCTCGGGTCGGTGGGTCGGTGGCAGCCGAGTCAGTGTTTGACTCCACATGTGCTGCGCTGCCTGCCTCGAGGAAAACTTTAATTTTATTTCAACTACCAAGGTTGAACTTATTTTCTTTTGCAGCTGCAACGCTTCAATTTCTGCAGCTCAAGTTGTGAGTTAATATCACGTTTTAAGTTTAATTACGTGATGGATTTGCTGAGGGCAGCTTTAAGTTGCCGAAGACTGTGCGCGATAGAAATCGCATTTCCTAGCGCTACAATTAACTAAATTATATGTTCGATTCCAGTTAAAAATAAATTATGGGTCAGCTAATTTCAACTTGAGGTGAATTCCTAAAGCCAATGTAATATTTAAGCTCGAATTATGTTTACAAGAATAATAATTATATTAATAATGAGTGCTATTAGTCATCATTCAATTATAATAATAAATATGGTAATGATAACAGGATTTTAATGTAAAATAAATATTGATAACACTAGATAATATGCTAACAAAATAATGATAGTAATGGAAATTATTATTAAAGTAATACTAATAAAGGTAAAGTAATACAATGAAATGCTAACACAAATAATGCTAAAGATTTTCATAGCTCACTATATAGACTGCACCGGTTTTCCACACCCACATTTTTACTTTTATATATATTTTGGATATCTTCATAAGGTCGGGCCTTCTAAATCGGGCACTAAATCTGTAAAAGATCCAGTTCTATCCGATTTGCCACACTCTTAGCGAGCGGATCAGGATAGTTACAATAGGCTTCTAGGTCGTAGAATGAATATGTAGTTTTCCTTAATAATTATACTTTATACATATCGCATAAATAATGAATTTGATTGTATAAATTACTCTATTTCATAGAGATTTCGCTGAATATATATCTACATATATTTTTGTAAACCTATTAAGTTGTGGCAAACCTATTAAGCTGAGCTGCACTACGTATGTATTGCCTTTAATATTCATTATTTTCATTCCATTCCGTTCCAAACGTATTACAGAAGTTACAAAATTTTTTATTTTTTTATTTTTTTTTAAAACTATTTACTCGCATGGAAACGCATTTTACTAATAATAAAGTATTTTCCCCCAAAATAAATAACTGAAATTACTTCGAGAAACTAGCACAAGCTGCTGACTTTGCATTCGCAGCATAAATTGTGCAACGCTGCGTATGCGCAACATATTTGCAGCTGCTTCAGAAGAGGCTTGTGCTTTTCAGCTCAGCTCAGTTTTTCGCAACTTTTGTTTGGCAAACAATTAAAAATGCATTTGACGGCAACTTTTGCTGAACAAGCTGCGAAATTGCACTGAGTGACAGCCGAGTTCTGAGTGCCGCCTGCCAATTGCTGAGTGCTTAAATATGTCGCATAGTTTTTTTTTTATATTATTCTTCTTCTTTTTTCTTTTTTTTTAGGCAGCTCTGAGCTATTTACTCACCATATAATCGTATAATGCCATCCGTCTCGCCCCTGGGATTCTTGGCCACGCACTTGTAGATGCCATCGTCCCCGCTGCCCACATTGATAATTGTCAGCTTCATGTGGGTCTTGTACGCGGGCACGCCGACGCTCGATTCGACTCTAGGCAATGCAGAAAGAAGACGTTGTTAGACTAGCTAAAGAGTAAAGGGAGAGCGAAGTGAGAAACGAGCGGAGCGCCACTTACTTGTACTTAAACGAGTCGTGTATGATTGGTCCCTCGCCGCGTGTCCAGTAATTCAGGGATGTGGGATGCGCCTCCGTAAAACATTCGATGGTCACATTGAAACCTTCGGGTGCGCCAACCAATTGATGTGGTATTAGCAGCATGGGTGGAACTGTACAAGATTTTAATAATGAAGGAGCATTAACATTGACTGTGAACACAATTTATAAATATATATAAAATATTATAAATATAAAATATTATAAATAACGGACAAAACGTTAAAACCGTGTCTAAAACTGTAATTTAAGTGCGGTAATTCATCCAATAGAGAAGTTTTGCAAGTAATAAATATTGTAAAGGTATACAGATTTATAAGGAATACTTATTTTTCAGTCTGTTTCATTATTGTTATTCTGAAACGTCTATGGAATACATTCTATGACTCTATAAGAATCTTGCTATATCTCTTACTATACAGTATATTCTGTTATATCAATATGTTATAGCATATTCATATATTCCATTCTGTTAGCTCCACAGCTCCAAGTATTTTCTCTTCTTACATAATTATCATAAATATTTGCAGCACTTCAAAAATTATCCAATTTGTGAAATGTCCAAAAATATTGTCAATTTTTCAATGTTAATCTTTCCGTGTTAATCCTGACAGCTTTGAGTACTCACGATGCTTTCGTTTACGGCGTTGACCAACACTGTAAAGTACTTAGTGTCCAGTCAGGTCGTTTAACCCCTTGACAAGTTAATTAAGTTGCGCATTTTGTCACACTTAAGCTGCGTGACACTTAATATCCTTTTCATTAAGGACATTTCAGAAAGAGAGGAAAAAAAGTGAATGCAAGAAATAATGAAGGGGAGCCAAAGGGGAGATAAACGTAAGGTGTTCGGCAAACTGCGCCAAAAGGCTTACGGCCACAATTCATAAACATAAAAACGACGCTAATTTGTGTTCAAGCTGATTAAAATTTCAATTGGTCCAGCAGCGGCATTAGCCGAAGGCGGACAGAGGGAGGCAGAGAGAGGGAGAGAGAGAAGCTTGAAGAACCCTTCAGGTTTGAGCCGCAGCTTAATTGCCAGCTCGTGGCTCGCATAAATCAACAAAAGGTAAAAGAGCCAGCGAAATGACAAGGCAAACTCAATGAATGAATAGAAGAGCTGGAGCAGGAGCAGCAGCAGAAGCAGGAGCAGCATCCATTGTGTATAGAGCCAGCACTTTTTCTGCGCTCAGCCTAATGATGATGACAGGCTCACAGACTACTGACAATAACTATAGCAGATGCAAAAACCAAAAAAACATAAAACAAACGAGAGAAGAAAAAAAAAAAACACGAGGTAGAAGAAGAAGGTTCATTAGTGCGAACAGTGGGAAAAAAGCATCAACTGCTTCCACTCGCATTTAATATCTTAATTAAAATTGCGCGCCGTTGTGCATTCGAAGTGTGGCAAAAAGTTCGCTCAGTGATTCGCCTATATGACTTTCCCTCTCAAGTATTTCGGTTGACGAATTTTTCTATAGGTGTCCTTCTGCTATATACTACGGAAAACTACTCAACAGATGCACAAACACATAACAAATAGACTCGAAAGATGTTCTAGCAGAGATGCAAGATGCAGCGGAAGAGAAAGAGGAGGCGCAGGCGGAAGAGGCCGAGGCGGAGGCGGAGTCGGAAGAGAAACACAAGAGCCAGCAAAATACGGAATAATGCTATTCATAAGATTTTTCATGAGCTGCGACCGCTGAAAGAAAAAATAGTTGTTTTTTTTTTTTTTTCTACTTGGTACCCACTTTGCGTGTGACTTGGGTGTGCATGTGCGGCTGTGTGTGTGTGTGTGTGTGAGTGTCTGGGTGTGTGTGCGAACTATGGCGAACTTTTTCTCCTGGGCAAAGAAAAGGCGCAGCCTCGTGACTTGTCTTGGCTCTCAATTTAAATGAAAATCAGTTGCATAAAAAATTATACTTAAGATCTGGCTCGACTTGCCATTTGCATAAACCAAAGACAAAAATAAATTCTATATATATATATTTATATAAATAGGTATATATATATGTATATGCAGCTTGAATGCATGCATAAATTGGACTTGAAACTTTGTTTGTCAATATGCAGCTGGAAGAAATTTATAAGTTAGCCGAAATGAATTGAAGCGATTCTATGGTCCAGTAACAGATAGAGAGAGAGAGAGAGAGAGTGAGAAGAGACGAAAGACATACAGAGCAAATAGAGAGAGCGAGAGGGGGTGATGGAGAGTTCGCTAGGTTATGACAAACAAAATTATTCAAATTGCCAACAGAAATTGTCCAAAGTTGAAAAATTCTGGATTCAAATTTTGCAAAAACAACTTACAACTACGCAAGGGAATGGGAATCTGAATTGTCTATATAATTAAAGTTTTTGCATGTTTTTCTTTTATGAACTGATGAACAGAGAGAGAGAGAGAGAGAGAGAGAGAAGTAAATTACTCTTTAAATATATATAGACGTAGAACAATGAATACAGCAATCATGAGAATGAGAAAATCCGGGGACGTTACGTATAATAACTTATATAGCAAAATATTAAAAAATTAGAATTATCTTTTGAGTAATTAAAAAAAAATAAAAATTTTTTTAAATTATTATAAATAATTTATATGATAAAAATCAAAAATAATTATTACAGATCAATTTTTATATAAATATATGAAATCATAACTCTTATCTTCAATTTTTATAATAAAAATTAATAATAAGAGTTATGGCTTAACTTTTATTATAAAAATTTAAAATTAAAATTGAATTCAAATATCTCTTGAACTGAAGGAGCTAGATCATATATTTTTGTAAATTTATGATCTATGCTCTAATAAAAATTTATTATTTTATTGAATTTACCGTAAACGAATAACTTCTGTGTAATTTCCTCTACCTTCTTGGGGCTTCTTTTGAGCCTCAATTTTTTTAAATTCATAACTCTTATTTGCGATCCAAACAGCATAAAAAGGTAATGCGAGTAAGCTGAACAATTGGAGCTGAATTACCAAATGCAAAAAATATATTTGCTTTAGTTATGACAAATAATATTTATGCGAAAGTTAAATAGACCACAAATAATTATAGTCAAAAAAAAAAAAAAAAAAAAAAAAAAAAGGAGGAATTAACTCCAAAACAATCATGAAAATCAAGAAGAAATCAAAAATAGAAGTCAACAGTTTAGCTAAATTTAAAGTCAAATGACAGTTCAATTCTATACAATGACCACACTCAAATTTAAGCAACATTGAGAATCGTATAGAAAGGCAGCACTCAACACTTAAATGCCAGCAATATGCCATTACGAGACCCATTATCAGATAACATTTTCTTTGTTTCAATCACATTGTCTGCAGCAATTTCTGAGAGTTCTTTGGGTTTCGTTCAGCCAGCACGTGCCGTGGCCAATCCTTTTGTCCTTATCTTGGCACAGACCATTCACCTGTCCCGTTTTTGGCCAATCGCAATGCAATCAGCTCATTGCCATCATCTTGTCCATCTGCCATTACACTAATTTCGCACAAATATTGCGCCAACATCCTTCGGCGCAATCAACGTCCAAACAATGCCAAGGCAAGCCAAGCCACTTGAGCGGTAATCCTTGACTGGGCGACTATCCGACCCGACTGCGACCGTAACGAGGCTTCATTAACTGCTAATTTTCAAGTTGTTTACACTCAGCCAGTGGCACCTTGCAATTTTCTATAGACAGCCAGACACAACTGTCACTCAATGTCCGCTGACTACTGAGGCGCAAACAGCAAGCCCCCACTTAGCCACACCCACTCAGTGCGCCTCTCACTCCCAGTCGGACTAAATTATTGTTGACTCAACTCAAGCTCTTCTCTTCTCGTTTTTCTTTTCTCTTCGTTTTTGTTGCCAGCTACCCGACTCGGTTGCTGTCCACTTAGCAGCTTCGCTCGCTCGGCGCCTTCGCACAATATTGTCGCCACTCAATTGTAATTTAAATCAGCGCTAAGAACTCCAACCGGACAGGAAATGCTGCAAATGCTTGGCTTGTCACCGCCATGTCGAGAGTGCCTAAAGTCAAGGGCTTTAGTGTTTTCATTTATACGCCCAGACACTGGGGATTATCGTACTGCCAGCCACTTAGACTTATTTATGGAACGCAAGCCTATTCTATAGATCTCCACATATATATGATAGATTGTAAATATTTTAGTAAAGTTAAATATATATGTATAAAAAAAAATCTTTTTTGAAATAATACTTTTCATATTTATCTAAAATATGAAATTTATAAATCCCATTGAAAAGCTTTGAAAATCTCAAGCAATGAAAATATATAGTATATATATGGCCTTCAAATATTTTTGAGGAGAATTAAAACTCTTTTCTAATTTATACGTAAACCTCAAATAATAAGGAAAATTCTAGTAAACATTTCTGGCAAGAAAAATACAATTATATATAAATCTTAAATACTTTGTAGAAAAATTTAACACTCTTTAACAATTCACACATTTGTCTGAAATTATAAAGAAAATTCCTCTATAAATAAAATGTGGATTTTTTTGGCATTGAAAATAATATAGTATAAATTTGTTTTTCAGGAAAATTAAAAACTTGTAGAACTTACATATTTAATGCTTTGAAAAAAAAATATATATTTTATATAAAATTTTTAGCAGGTAACTTAAAAATTGTTTTATATGTTTAACTTTTGTCTCAATTATTACAGAAAATTCCGGTAAAATCTTTTGCAAGGAAAATAATAGAAAATATAAAAAAAACGGTTTTCTTGTTATCACTTTTGCCTCAATTATTAAAGAAAATCCCAAGGTAAATAATATCCTATATAACTTTTAAATATTTGACTTGGAAATTGAATAAAAATTTGTAAATTTCACATTTATTACAAAGAATAAAAACAATTCCTGTGAAAACCATTTGAAATCGTTGACAATGAAAACTTAACTTTTTCTAATACTTCTTTGATTCCCTGATTAAAGCCACTCGAAATCTAGTCATTGGGGATTCCGTTTTAAAGCTCTGTTAAGTACCGACAAATTGTATAAAAAGCCAAAAGAAATAATATGAATGCCAAATATCTGGATTGCATACCAAATTAGCTGCTTAAGTTGGCCCCAAAGAAATTTTACTTCTTTTTTCTATTGCTT